ATCACCGATCTTGAGGTCGTATTTCCATCAGCTTACTTACGGCGAGTCATGTCTGCTGTTGTTGGTCCTGATGAGATGGAAGATGTGGAGTACATTCCACTACTCAACAGGATTGGTGAGTCGCCATATAGGGTCTTGGTCACATTCGGACCTTGGAACAACGTGGAGAATCGTCTTGATCTCTTCTTGGTTAAGTTGTTCCCGATTTTAGATGACTAAGTAGCGTAGGGTATTATTAATATAATCGGATTAATGTTAGTAATGGTCCACCTCGCTCTAATTTCGAATTATCTAACCGCGTAATGGATATGTGAACGCAAATATTTTTTGAAAGGTTATTATCCTTTTGAGGTGGTCCTTCATGTAACCATATTTTGAGCATCATATAATTTTGCTCTTTGTTTACTGTCACCTTCCTTGCTATTTGGTAATTCCTTTTAAATCCATTAGGACGACATGGAATCCTGCTCCGTGACATATACAACGCAATGCACATATGGACTATGGTATGCATATGCAAAATAGTCTAGAACACACCTTACAAAATAAAGAAACGCATTTAAAAGATACTAAGCTTACCATGTGGAATATATTCAACAGTACGTCGCAAGCGCGCATTCAAGATCTCCCGTCGTCGTTTTCGATAGGATTGAGCTATCAAGCCATCAATATGCTCAACTTGTGATTGAAGGGTGAGTATTTCTGCAATTGAAATATACAAATCAAATTAGCCTGATTTTGTGCCAAAGTAAACTTTAATTTAATGTACCAACAAATGAATCGCGGAACTACGTTGATTAAGACGATCTCTTTCAGCAGCGGTTTGTTGATTGGAAGGAGGTTTTGGCGGGTTGAATATAGCTCGCATGAACCCTGCAAAATACGACAGAATTAAGGCAGCGGGTATATGTTGTGTCCATTTTGAATACGTACAATAACAGTGGAACATGGAAAAAACCAAAGAAATCAAATTACATTTGCCCTTTGAATTCCGACGGTTGGGAGCACTGGTTTGCACTGAAGAGCTTCCACCAGGTTGTTGATTTCCGGACATTATCTTGATTGCAATCACACTTAAGCATGAACCAGCAAGCTCTAATTGATCAAAAATAAAGGTTTACTTAGCGGTTTGTTGATTGGAAGGAGGTTTTGGCGGGTTGAATATAGCTCGCACAGTTTTATTTAAATGTGAATTCACCAGCAGTCTTTGGCCCGACTACGTCAAAGGGGAATAGTTTGGGCCGGATACTTCAGGGGGCAACAGCCCGGTCCGACTATATAATAAACTGGCCCGGTCCACCGGCAGAATGTGTTGGAGGTGAAACGCACAGTTTTATTTAAATGTGAATTGCCTAAAGTGCCCTTCCGACAAATCCTCTGCAGGCTGGAAATTTGAATCCCTGCAAACTAAACACTTGTTTTGGCTTCATATATCTTATAGATGCATCTTCAAGATTTAGACCCATCTTGATGATCTTGCCCCTCACAACCCACATGGACACCATTAGAAAATTCCTCAAATGTAGCAATTTGATGAAACACTTACCATTTAATGAAGAAATCAATGAAAACACGTCGTTTTAATAAGGAGAGGAATTCTAAGTATAAACAAACAAACAAATAACTTGTCCAGAATTATTGGTTTCTTCTTGCAAAAGTATCCAAACAAAGATATTTTATTTTAATCTAGTTGGATAACGTGGACCAATAAGCTCCAAGATTCAGAGACTTCACTCAGTCCCTTCCCCCAATCCGTTCCCTACTTCTCCTCCTCCAATTTCTCAGCAACCATCACTCCTCCATCTTCCCACTCACTCACAAGTCACAACAACAACCATGGCGGCCGGCGCTATCCTCCTCTCCATCCTCTTCCTCCTAATCTCCTCATCCGCCGCCGCCTCCTCCCCCGAATCCCGCCCCCAAACCTTCATCGTCCACGTGTCCAAATCCCACAAGCCGGCCCTCTTCTCCTCCCACCGCGACTGGTACGCCTCCATCCTCCCCCACCCTTCCGCCCTCCTCTACACCTACTCCCACGCCGCCGCCGGCTTCTCCGCCTCCCTCACCGCCGACCAAGCCTCCCGCCTCCTCCGCACGCCTGGAATCCTCTCCGTCGTCCCCGACCAGATCCGCCACCTCCACACCACCCACACCCCTTCCTTCCTCGGCCTCTCCCCCTCCTCCCCTCTCTCCCTCAACTCCGCCGACGGCGACGGCGTCATCATCGGCGTCCTCGACACCGGGATCTGGCCCCTCCACCCCAGCTTCGACGACGCCGCCTTCCCCGCCGCCGCCGCCGACAAAATCCCTGCCAAGTGGCGCGGGATCTGCGAGTCCGGCAAGGACTTCCCCGCCGCGGCCTGCAATCGAAAGGTCAGTGGAGTGAATTGCATCGTCGTAAATCGAATTCAGTAATAAGACGTATTACAGAGAGGATTTGATTTTCGAATCCTCTGTTTCTTAACAGCTGATCGGAGCCAGAGCATTTTACAAAGGATATGAGAGCTACAGGGGAAGGCCGATCGACGAAAGCGTGGAATCGAAATCTCCGAAAGATACGGAAGGCCACGGGACTCACACGGCGTCGACAGCTGGCGGATCTCTGGTAACGAACGCCAGCCTGTTCGGCTACGCATCCGGCGACGCGCGGGGGCTGGCCCCGAGCGCGTGGATCGCCGCCTACAAGATCTGCTGGTCACCGGGATGCTTCGATTCCGATATCCTCGCCGCCTTCGACCAGGCCGTAGACGACGGCGTCGACGTCATCTCCCTCTCCGTCGGAGCTAGCTACGCGCCTCCGTACGACAGCGATTCGATAGCGATCGGAGCTTTCGCGGCGGCGAGGAAGGGGATTGTGGTTTCCTGCTCGGCTGGGAATTCCGGACCAGGAGCTTACACGGCGACGAACATCGCTCCGTGGATCTTGACGGTGGGAGCGTCCACCGTTGACCGTGATTTCCCCGCCGATGTCGTCCTCGGAGATGGAAGCGTGCACGCTGGAGTTTCGCTCTACGGCGGGGCCGGTCTGCCTGAGGGGGAACTTTTGCCTCTCGTTTACAGCGCTGATTGCGGGAGCAGGTACTGCTATTCCGGCTACCTCGACCCGGCGAAGGTGAAGGGGAAGATCGTGCTGTGCGATCGCGGCGGGAATGCGAGAGTCGAGAAAGGGGCATCCGTCAAGCTCGCCGGAGGTATCGGGATGATCATGGCGAACACGGATCTGGAAGGGGACGAGCTTCTCGCCGACGCTCATCTCATTCCGGCGACAATGGTTGGAGCGACGGAAGGGGATACAATTCGCGAATACATTCAATCGGCTGCGTCTCCAACAGCGACGATTCAGTTCAGGGGAACTGTAATCGGAGAAGGCACCTCACCGGCTCCCAAAGTGGCGTCGTTTTCCAGCAGGGGCCCGAATCGGGTCACGCCGGAGATCCTCAAGCCGGATGTGATTGCTCCCGGCGTTAACATTTTGGCTGGCTGGACCGGCGCCGCTGCTCCATCGGATCTCGAGATTGATCCTAGAAGAGTTACTTTCAACATCATTTCAGGTAACAATCTTACGATTTTGAATTTTCACACCCTCAGTAAAAAAAAAAAAAGCAATTGGATTGTTACTTACTGTTTCATTTTTGATCAAATTGCTAGGTACTTCAATGTCCTGCCCACATGTTAGCGGCCTAGCCGCATTGCTCAAGGGAGCACATCCCGATTGGTCTCCGGCAGCAATAAAATCGGCTATGATAACAACGGCGACCACAGTAGACAACGCCGGCGAGAACATCAACGATCTCGCCAGCGGTAAAGGGACGACTCCATTTGTCTACGGAGCAGGCCATGTGGTTCCAAATGGCGCTGTGAGCCCCGGTCTCATTTACGACCTCAACACGACCGACTACGTCTCGTTCCTCTGCTCGATCGGGTACAGCGCCTCGAGGATCGCGGTGATCTTCGGCGAGCCCATTGCATCGGACGCCTGCGAGCACGCGGCGGCGCTGGCTGCCGGTCCAGGGGATCTGAACTACCCGTCGTTCTCCGTCGTGTTCAAGCCCAAATCCGATGTGGTTACATACAAGAGGGTGGTGAAGAATGTCGGGAGCTCGGTCGATGCGGTCTACGAGCTCAAAGTGAATGCTCCGGCGAACGTGGATGTCAAGGTCTCGCCCACCACGCTCGTGTTCAGCAAGGAGAGCCCGTCTCTGGCGTACGAGATTACGTTCTCGAGCTCGGTCGTAGGTTTCTCGAACGCTGCGACGCAGAGCTTCGGGTTCGTTGAGTGGAGCGATGGAGTGCACAAGGTTAGGAGCCCGATTGCTGTGCAATGGAGGCAGGGAGGTTCTGTGGAGTCTATTTAAAGGGGGCATTGTCATCTATATCACTCAGAGGCCTAGTACTATGGTTTATTATCGACAGGACACTTGCATTTGCCTGTCCTAATGTGTTTACATTACTTCTCCATTGATGGTGGAGCAGCGAATTCGAATGTACATATGTACCATATAAAACTCCATGTTGTGGTTCATATGATGCTGAATTGATTAGTTGAGACTTGAGATTACAATGGAAAACAGTTTATCAGCTGCTGTAAACACTCTACTTGTGGACTTAATTCGGACATATGTTACTACTATTGTTGCAACCTAAAAACAATAAGGCTTTCGGCATGAGTGTTACGTATCCCGCAAAATTCTTGAACTACTAAAAATATTAGGATATTTTCTTTTGTCGAGCAGGAAATATTAAAATAGAAAATTGTATTTGTAAATGAGGTAAATTTACCCAGAGACCAAACGTGACATTTACCCACAGGTTGTGTACCTAATTTGTTGCAAAGCCCTAGGTGAGGCATTTTGACGTCACATAATACCTAAGAATAAGATTAAGCGCGTCTTGTTGAACCATACTCCATACTTGCAACAATGGAGTCAGCTGGTTCATATTTTACTTGCAAACCTGCTAATATGTTGACTACAAAATTTCGACCAGTATCACCGGCAAAATTGGAACATGAAATCCGCCTACCCATTCAGATATAGAGAAAAAAATAACAGAACAGAAGGGTTCTGATACACAGGGCGAAATAGGGAATAAGAGCATGTACCAACATCTCAATTAATCACTTGCTCAACAGGATAGAAGAGTAACACTCGACCTAAAATGCCATCCACCCAAAATACTATAATAGCGACCAGCTTAACTAGAAAAAAAGGAACAAGTGTTTGTTTAGTGTTTCCTTACTGCAAATGCCCATTTACAAACTCCTTGGAATGGCTCGTGAGACATTATGAAATTCGGCGCCCCCTGGCTCCAATGTTCAAGTTATTGAGTCCACTAGTGCCCATACTTCTGGAATTCCCATTCACTGTTATCTGTAGAATGGATAAAGACGATGTAAGATGTGGGATTTTAACACCTCAAATGAGATAACAGAGTTTGGACAATGTAAAGAGTTTTTAACGTACCAAGAGGGCAGACTTGGCGGGTTTTCAACCAGCGGCTGATGCAGTGGAAGTGGAAAGCATGGTTACAGACACCTGAGCGAGAGAGGGGAGTCAGTATTGGTTTTGACTGATCAAAGAGTGAAACTAAGTAGAGCTGAAATATAATTGGTACAGAAGTAGATGAATATATTTTGGTGCAGAATTAGATGAATGGACAAATCGGGAAATTAGAAGCGAACTCATTTGATCAAAACATTCCTCTACAAGGTATGAGAAAATGCTAAATTGATAAGGAACAATTGGCATGTTGCCACACCAGTGTAAGGGGGCAGCACACAGATGAGCACTCTATAACAGTGAGATGTAGCTTATTCAGTACAGAACAACAGGCAAAACAAACATGTGAAGTATCAACTAACATACAAATCTAGACCTTACTATACCTAGCCTTGGCATTGAAGCTCAAAATAATCGAAAAATCTTCGAGGAAAAATATGATCCCCATCATATCATCACAGCAGCAGTGAAGACCTCAACGGTGAGTTTTTCTACACATCTAACTCATACTTTCCAACCAAGCAAAAACAGATCGCTTTTACCTCTCAATATGAAGGTGGCCATAAGTTCATGATCCAACATATCCAAAACTAGACATAAAACATCCAGAGTCACACAACAATTGAGATCATTCTCCAAAAAAAATTATAATGCAGTGAATCTATCTACCAACCCTACATGTAACATTCTCCACCTTTCCTAACAGAAACATTCAGAACGGCTAGATGCAGCGAGAGATTAAATAACTAAGAATGGCCCGCCAGCCAATATACGAAGTATTCACAAGCCTAACCATCATTTACAGTTACACGCACCATTCTTTATAGTTCAATGCCGCTATACATTCTCAGAGGGCAACCAGCTAAACTCTGACAATTAACCAAAAACGAGGGTCTTCCCAAGTTAATGAAGCTATGTAGTATACAATTCGACCCTTACAAACCAATTCGCATTCGGTCTAACTCAAATACGAATAAGTACCACATCTTCGGGCGATTAAGTAGATAAGGAATGCCTACCCCAAGCGACAGTACACTCCTCACTGGTTGCGCTGGCCTGATTAGCTTGGCACTCGATACCTAACCACGACAAAAGGAAAATCCCCATTACGAAAAACGAACAAAGCTATTGCAAAACCCATAGCGACGAAGAATACTCACAGAGATCCATGATATGGTTCCTGCAAATCGCGCAGTTATCCACCACGATATCTGTACAGCGAGAAGAAAAACAAAATTAGGCGCAATGAGCATCAGATTATCCATCCACTAACACAAGGTTTAGATAGATAGCGCGACAGATGCTGTAGAGATTTAGGGTTTCGTCGAACGAACCCCAAGCCCAGAGAGCGACGGCATTCCACTTCTTGATCTCGAAGCGCTTCGGCTTCTTGCTAGAAGAAGAAGGTCCGGCTGCTGCGCTGGAGCCTCCCTCGCCGGCCGGGATCATGGCTACGTCTGAATCCATCTCCGCCGAGTGAAAGGCTATTAGGGTTGGTCGATCGACAGAGAGGAACCGGAGGATTTCGAGTCTTTTGGGAGAAAAGGGACAGTGTTGCGATTTTGCGAAGTTAGGAATTTTCTCCCGGGGTGTCTGTATTTAACTGATAACCATTTATCGAAGATTGAGTGGGCCGATGATTTCGAGTAGGCCCATCAAACTTTAGGTTGGGCCACTGTGACAGAGCTTTTGAGAATGGGTCTCAAAGCCCAATTAGTATTCCTTGTGTTTTGCGGAATTGATGGACCATATTAGTGTTGGAGGTTTGGTACTTAGTACTTAGATAATATCAAATACGAAATTGGTTGATATGTGGTATTATCAGTATTATTTTATAGGATTAAAATTGAATTTCAAGTGTAGATTTAAATCAGTACATACCGAAATATCAAAATATATGGAAATATAAATTAGTAAGTATTTTGTCCCTCCCAACTAGGCTCTCTCATTCACAGCTACCAGATCATCAACTGCCAAAAATAAACTCATAATTATACACAGTTGATTCTCTCACTATCGGACAATCCAGACAAGTTCATTTCCCTACTTGTATATGTTTATGGGCTACTTAGTCATCCCCTATTTCAAATTTGTTGCTTTAGTTTGTTAACGTGCTTCTTAGTTCTTAGGCATCACATTCCCTAGTTTGTTGTTATTAAACTTTTGAGTTTTTTCATTTGTTTTGCATGAGTGTTGACACCATTATTTACTTTTATATATATTTTCAGAATGGTTTGTGGAGCTGTTACCAGAGGATAAATATTTGTTTTCATATATTTGATTGAGAATTTTGAAGGAAATTAAATCATTATTTGTTATATATGGATACCGAAGAACATAGTACGGATTGAGTGTTGGCACCAAAGCCTCAAATGTGTCAAAGAGTCAGAACTCAAAGTCACTCTTCTCCATTCCCTTTGAGGTCGAGAAAACGAACCTCAAAGCCTTGTTTCTTTATTGTTTGTGAATGATGATGATCTTATTGTTGTGTTTGATATCTTACTAATTGGTACTCGCCAATTGGATGGATACGTTTGACTACTTTTGATTTTACGTATTGGAATTGATTTGCGTTATGAATTCGTGATAAATGTTGTATTGTATTGATGTTAATGACAAACACTGATAGTTGCTTTAGGTTAAATTCCTTTCCACAAATGAAACAGACGGAATCTTCATATGATTATGAATAGTACTGATTTGGCACCTTGGGAAGACAACTGCTTTTGGGGTTGATTATCAAAACCAGCAACATGGGGTGAGATAGCATGCCTACCCATAAAAGGGTTGGCAAAATGACAACCCCTATTAATTATAGGTTTTTAAGGTAATTAATTTGTGTTGCATTTAATAATCTGTATGAATTAAAAACACATATTAATTACTTTCCTTTTTTCAGCGCACTGGTAGTTGTATCAGTGCACTGGTAGTTGTGTACAGGTGCAATGGTAGATGTATCACTGCAATGGTAGTTCCAAAAAAGGAACGTAATTAATATGAGTTCAGTATACCAGTGCACTGATACAACTACCAGTGCACTAAAAAAGGAAAGTAATTAATATGTGTTTTTAATTCATACAGATTATTAATGCAACACAAATTAATTACATTAAAAACCTATAATTAATAGGGGTTGTCATTTTGCCAACCCATACAAGGGTTAGCATGCTAACCGATCCCAGCAACATGTAACAATAAAATGTTAGATCTGTAATTAGTTCCACCAATAAGCATTAAGTTGAAGTTAAGAAATGATTAACTTGCATCATATTTCTTTTGGGTAGAAAGAATACGTACGCAAAAATGTGTCACAATCTGCATTTGTTATCAATCGGAATGCAGACATCACCATAATATATACCATCTTTCATAGAGTAATTTGTAGGTCTTTATGAACTAGGTATATACTATATAGTCCATGACATATATGATTTCATTCTCTATAAATGCAAGATATAATAACTTAATCCCTTTAAATGGAAATTTTTAAATCACGTAATTAATATATAACTTAAATTCATTTTATATAAGTAAAGAAACACACATAGTTATTCGATTTTCGGCCTCCATCACCCCAAAATCCCGACTTCACTCCTGTCCCTCAGTCACCAATTTAACCACCCCTAGAACCCATTGTATTTCCATTTGATGTACAGTTACTCGACCAAATGTGACAAGTTAGACAAAAGAAGAGTTGGTGATCACATGAACCAAAAAGCCCTAGTAACTCACATGAATCGTTTGGGGAACCTAAACTCATCAACTGGCCTTCTATTCATAGCTATACTTTTCATTTCCTTCCTCGCACCATGAAAAGGGTAAAATATTGTTTAGGGTTGGTTCGACGACTCGGCGTGCAATTATTAGAATGTTTTGCTTGTGTTTGCTAAAGATTGCCTGACTAGGGCAACCAGATCGACTACGCACACGTTTAAAACATCACACTCGATAGAAATAATGTGCAGTTAAATTGATTCAGAGACTACTACAGTAGCATTCCAATCAGTAACTAGTTGCATGCGGGCGCACTAGTTTTTGTTTGCAATAATTTGCGGCTTTGAAAGCCCCCCGCCGGCTGCCTGGCTGGCCACCACTTCAACGGCCGTCCATCTCCGATCCGTTATTTGTGTGCTTTTTAATTGGAAAAACGTGGGCACAGTAGAACAACTTTTGGAATCTTTGGCTGTCAGAAAACGAGGATACGACATTGATTTGTGTACGGTTCCATGACGTGTCTGTGTTCGTGCACTATTTTGCTTCAGTGACAACGTGGGGGAAAGTCGGGAGCTTTTGTGTGGTACGTACGTAAGTTGTTATGACTTATGAGGAGACCATTAATGCAACTTCGCAGGCTCCTCCAGAAAAAGGATGTATCTCTCCCCTATCTCTCTATCGGTAACGTGCTCTGAACCAAACAACGGTTCCTTTTCCGTCCCCCTTGCTGGGACTGCTCCGGCTCTTACAGAGACCTTCCTGGTGATCTATTCACCCATCAATCTTCTTCCCCACACATTTGTTTACCATAAAGTTGGCAGTAGAACCACGAATCCAGGGGCAGGGAAGATTCCCACTCTGATTAGACAAAAAGAAGAAGTAAGCAGAGAAGGCATAAAGAAGAGGGAGGTGTGGGAACCTCCAGATGACGGCAATAAAGGATCCCCCAGCCATATCAGAGTAAGGAGAAGTAAAGGGGAAAGGGCAACATCAACTACTAAATCTCTGTCCTGTGAGTACACCATCCACCTCGAGCAAAATGGAGGCAACATTGAGCCAAGAGCCGCGGCTCTGGCAGAGGAAAAACAGGGGAAAGCTATGCATAGTCTCCAGAAGAATAATGAAGGGCTTGAAAAGAAAGAAACCTACCACATTCAAGAGGAAAGAGAGACGATCAGCAGGGGTAGAAGCTTTAAAGGGAGGTGGAACAGGGGAAGAGAAGGCTGTGCACACAAAAACATCTCCCAAACCACTACAACTCACCTCTGTTTCTTACAGTTACCAAAACCCACATATTGTGAAGGAAAACCCCCTGTTTCTCAAACCAAACACTTCCATACACCAATGGAATCCATCAACATCGAAGCTACCAGCAGCCAGAGGAGAGGCAGCATGATCCCTGCGCCACCCAGGGGCAGAGGAGGGCGCCTTGTTCTGTCATCGACTGGTGGAAGAGGGATGTCCATGTTGCTGGGCAAGATGCTGACAGAAAGCAGGGTAGCGGTGGCAAAAGCAGCAGGAGCAGCTCGATACGCTTGGGGTAGCTACGGAGAGGTTAACATCCAACCAACCGAAACCCAAAACCTATTCCTGTTTACTTTCAATAGTGTGGAGATCAGGGACAGGATTTGGAGGGACAGGCCATGGAGCTTGTCCAACACTTTGACGGCGATTGAGAGGTACAATGGAAGGGGGAGGCCTGAAGATGTCCCAATTGAGAAGATGGCAATGTGGGTTCAGATCCATGGTTTACACCAGAACCAGAGAAGCGAGGAGAATATGATGGCAATCGGTTCAAGCTATTTCCTGGAGCTGCTGGATCTTGACAGAGCTAGCCTGGAGTACACTGGTTACAGGAGATTTCTCCGCATTCTCGTCGAAGTGGATATCAGGGAACCCATCCCAACAGGCTTCGAATTTCCGTTTCTTGATGAACCCTCTGGGGTGGAGCACTGCGATGTAATTGATTTCAAGTATGAGAGATTGGTGGAGTTGTGCTAAGTCTGTGGCAGGATCGGGCATAACTGGCCTACTTGTAGAAGAATGAATGAGGAAAGGAAGAGAAGTGGAGTGGCTTACCTGTCCGACATCTACACCGCGGCTCTTAAGGCGGGAGTTGATTCGCCCCACAGAAGCTCGGATTCGCAGGCGAGGTACAGGGGAGAAGGGAGAATGACGCAACGGAGGAATGGAAGAGTTGAGGGCGGGTCGGCGGAGTCGATGGGGGAATCAGCAGGGGGGAATCAACTTGTCCCTCCTGGGTTCACGGTTCAGAGAGTGGGAGAAGGGCAGATAGACAGGGAGGAGCAGGGGATGATGGGCAGACAGAGGGGGAGATACAGAGAAGGGATGGGAGCTAGAGATATCTCCATTGATTTGGAGAGGGCAGCGGAGGAATTGGAATGGGGTCTGAGATTGGAGGAAGGCGGCGGAAATCTGGGCGACGGAGGTCAGGGAAGAGGAGTCGGGCTGGGCATGAAAATTGGGCTGGGAGAAGGAGATCGGGTCAGGGGGCTGGACACGAGAAGTGGGCCGGGTTATGGAGGCCAGGTCAGGGGGGTGGAAATGGGAATTGGGCTGGGAGATGGAGGCCAAGTCAGGGGGTTTGGGCTGGGCGATAGTGAGGTCGGGCTGGGCCAGGCGAGAGCGGTCCATACTACTCTATCCCTTGGACCTGTGAACCAGGAGAGTAATACCCAGGCCCAGGGAAATATTAACTTGGAAGATGTGGTCCTGTATCAGCATGTTGAGGAGGGCTTGGAGGAAGAAGTGGGCCGGGCCAGGAAGAAGAGGAAAGGGACCAGCAGGCCTGAGGCAACAGGCTCTTTTATTTCGGATGGGGCAATCTACATGGGAGGTAAGGAAGGCGAGAACAGGAA